GCCGCTCTCCGGGCTCGTCCCGGCGCCTTCCCGCGGGCCCCGAGAGCGGCGCGGCCGCCTGAGCCGAGCGATAAGGAGCGGCAGTTCCCCCCGCCTCCCCTCCACCGCCCGGGCTGGAGCGGGGCCAGGGGCTCAGCTGTGCTCACGCTGTTGGCCCCGTCCCCGCAGGTCAGGGGCTTCGCTGTCCTCACGGGACCCTGTTATCCCACAAGCCAGGGACTCACCTTTCCATGTGGGATCCCACTGCCCTTAATCCCCAAAGTCCAAGGACTCGCCCTTCCTCAGGGGCCCTGTTGTCCCCCTTCCCACTGGCCATGGGTTCAGCTGTCCTGACGGGACCTCCTTGGCCCCCATCCCCACCGCCTCAGAGGYTGCCTGGCCCGGCAGAGGCCCGTGGGTGCCAGCGGGTGCCCAGGAGCTTTGTGCTGTGTTCCAGCATCGGATGGGGCCAGCAAGCTTGGGAAGATGCTGGGCACCATGAGGGGGTCCCACATGGAAAGGAAGAGCAGGTCAAAGATGAGSGTGGTCTAGAGAAAAGGTTTGGGCWTTTAATTTATGTTGCTGGATGGCACAGAATTGGAACTGGGGGGAGGGGTGGAAATGGAGATTTGGTTTGTGGGAGCTCAGCCCCGTGGGATGGAACAGGCTCATCCCTGTTCCTGCAGACTATGCAGACCCTCATCCTGCTGCTGCCTCACTCTGCAGAGAGAGGGGTCTTGGAGAGCACCACACGGTGTCTGTTGTGTTAAGTGCCTGTTCCAGGGCCATGAGGGAGCAAGGCCCTCTCCAGGGATCATTTGGGATGAGAGGTGGTGTCTTGGGTCTGGGACATCAGCCGAGGTAGAGGAGTCGTTGAGCTCCGTGCCCACACTGAGGGCTGGAGCAGCGAGAGGAAAACGCCCATKCCTGTGCTGGCACACCCTGCCCGCCTTCCCCTGGCCCCTGCCGATAAAGGCAGTGGACGTGACTTGGAGCCCTGCTCTCCAGGGCAGCTCCAGCCCTAGGACGTTGGACAGTGCGAGCCATTCCATATGGAATTCCCTCCATGCAGTGGTTGATGCTTCCCTGTAGAGGTCAGGAATGCAGCACAGAAGGAATTACCTTCATTCTGCTGTTTCCCTGAAGTCTGCTGCAGASCCGGTGTGCCGTTTTCTGATTCCAAAACCTTCCCTAATAGCCAGGGAATGAGGCAGTACAGACCAGTTGGCTTGATCGTGCCAGGTTGGGCAGGCTTGGAGCAACCTGGTCTAGCAAAAGGCGTCTTTACCCATGGCAGGGCGTAGATCAAGTTGATCTTTAAGGATCCAATCCAAACCATTCTGTGATTCCATGGTTCTRTGRTAGAATATGGACTTCTTGGCATGACCTTACCCCTCCGATCATGCTCTGCCATCAGGAATGTGGAGCCATGGCACCTCAAAATTGTATGGCGGGAGAAAAAATATTTATGTTACCTTTGAAAAAACACACAGGGATTCAAGGGTGTGGTGATAACAAATTTGCCTAGGCACCAATGCATGACCAATTCTAAGTAGCTGGGTCATCCTTTAGCTCCTCTGGTGGATCCAGAACTGATCTAGTCCTGGAAAAACTGGGGGCCATCAGGCAGTCAGGTCTGGGGCAATGTGTCATCCCTGGAAGTGTTCAAGGCCAGGTTGGAGAGGGCTTGGAGAAGYCTGGGATAGTGGAAAGTGTCCCTGCCTATAGCAGGGAGTGGGATGAGATGAGC